GACATGGCGGTTGTTTAAAACTAGAGCTAGAATGTAGAATGGCTTTTATTAAGGAAGGTAGACTTAATCTTTTTTTTTTTAAATAAGGTCTTGATTTATAGCCAATTTTAAGGCAGCACTAATAGATTTGCTTGAAGTTACACAGTGAGTGAATAAGTGTGAATGAGACTTCCAGCAAGCATTCTTCTGCTTACATATCCACATTTTTGAACAAGTTCCTTTACCAATAGCTTGGCACATCAAAAATCTGTATTAAAAATTCTGTAGTTTCTTTTCATTCAGAAGCTCCTGTGCCATAGCAAGACATAAGGAGACCTTGAGTTAGTACATAAAGCAAACAGCTGGATGTCTGTTATGTTTGTACCATTCTTTCGACTTATCTAACAAGTTTTCAGAGTGGATGTTCTATGGGCGCATCTACACATGCAGTTAGTCACAACTAAATTTACTGTGTATTAGCTTAATGCACAGTGATTTTTGGCAGGTATCTACATGTGCAGGGATCTGCCCATACCTTGACTATCCTCTGCCCACCCCCAACTCCACTCTCAGGCCAGGCATGTGTTTGAAAAAATAAAAAAGCTTTATTCCCCTCACAACACCCACTCCCATCTGTCCCCCATCCCTCCTCAACACATAGTCTTCTTTCCCCTCCCTCCCCAACACACAGAGCCCCCTCCACAACCAACAAAGCCCCTCCACCACCCTCCCCACGCACCAACAATAAAAAACCTTTTCCCCAGTGTCAAAATTATTTACAAGAGTTTCAGTCTCTATTTGTGAGTCCCAGAGTTGGGGCCTGTGGGTTGGGGGTGCCTTGGGGGTAGGCAGCAAGCACCCCCAACCTCAGACCATTCACCTGCAGGTCCAGGGACTGTGGTGGTTGGCAGGCTTGTCCTATGGCAATGGCAAATGGCAGTCCCTGAGGGCAGGCAGCTCCCCCTCTGGCTGCCCAAGTACTGGGCCACTGTCCCCTTATAGGGCCACACCTGGCACCTCCAGGTCCTCATGCACATCGGTGCCGGGGCGACCGACAGGGATGGGCCCACTGGGGGGACCCATATCAGGGGCTGAGTTGGGGTCAGGGGCTCCTGTGGACAGAAGGTGCCAGAAGACTTCCTCCTAGGTCTAGGCCGGGTGCATGCTGTGGGGTGATGGATAGCTTCCAGGAGCCCTTCAGGGCCAGGGATGAGGACCAGGCAGTGCGGGGCATGCATGCAAATGCCAGGCCCAGGACAGTAGCAGTGCTATACATCCCTGCCCCCTGCTGCCGAGGAGGACATCACTGCTGGCACTGACACCTTCCTCAGCGTATGAGAGGTCCATGCCTACCCAACTGTTGGGACATGGTTTGCTCAATAAAGTTTTGGACTGTGTCCTGCCTCTCTGCTTGCTGTGGGGGGAGACCTGAGGCCAAGGGAGGGGAGGCTGTATCCAGGGGCAGGGGCTAGGGCCAGGGGTTGGAGTCAGGGCTGCTGACTGGGCATGCTCACTCCTGCGTGCTGCCCAACAGGGCCTCATAAATGTGCATGTTTGAGCACCTGCCCCATGTGAACTGCCTCTGCACCTCTGCATCACCCCAGAGTGCCACCAGGTTGCCATTCTCCTCCTGGCTCTAGTTGGGGGCCTGGGTGGAAGGCTTGGGCATGCACATGTGGTGTGGCCAGGCCTTGATGGGGAGGATGAGAATGACATCGTTGGTTTCTGGGCCCCTGTGCATTTAGCCATTTTTATTGTGCAGTAAGGGCTCGCACATCTAGACATGTGCCGGCACTATGCAGTAAACTAGGCTAAGGCGCATTAATGCATCTCATGTACATGCTCCCTGTATGTTCGAACTGAAAGAACAGTGTCACTCAGTAGACTTGCCATGAAATGGCTTGGAGGAATTCAAATAGCAGTGTAAATATATGTATGATGCATTCTAGCCCACTGCTTTCTAAACCCAGCAGAGGAAAGAAACTAAAATGTCTCAGAAGCAAGAGAGAAAAACGTGTAAAGGTTAAACTCAGTGCTAAAATCACTGACATTTGAACAGCATGGATTTAAAGGAAACATGAAAGCGTAACATTAACTAGGGGTATTGTGCTGGAAACTTTATCATTTTAATGATTGTAAGAAAAACAGGCATGTGGTAGATCAACATAACTAAAAATGGTGTTTGTTAAAATATTTGTGTGCCTATATATAGATATAGATAATATACAATCAAAAATATACAGTCATGTGGCATGTAAAATTACTGACTATCACAGGAATATTAATATTCTTGGGAGAAGGGAGAGTAGCATGCAATATGTCATAATAGTATTTTTATCTTGTGAATTATGGGCATCATCAGCACTTAGATAATGTGATTGATCTGTTGTAAATGTCATAGTTTAAATGGTTGTTAAACTATTTTTCCAACATATACACAGAACCATTTCTCTTGTTTTCTTGTGTGAGTAAGAACTCAATGATTTTTTTTGTAAAACAGACACAACAAATCAGAGACTTACTAATGAAGCATCAGGACTTTTACATTTGATTTTGAAACTAAGATTTAGATGTATTGTAGACAAGGTTCTCTGGGTGAATCTGATATCTTTTATTAGACCAACTTAAATAGTTAGAATTTTTTTTTAGCAAGCTAACAAGTATTTAGATGTATTTGCATTAAATAGAAAAGTTTAAAAATGACCTAAAATCCAAGAAAAGGAAGGAAAAAGGCTCATAGTGCAACACGAGGCTTTAACTAGTAGATTGTTCTGCATTGAGTAAGATGTATCTGCCTGGACTTCTGTATCTTGAACACTGCCAGCAAGTTACAGAAACAAAAGTGAAAGAAATAAGTACTTCAGTGCATGCCATAAAACAGATATACATATACAATGAATTGTAATGGGTGCAAGGAATGTCATTTTCCACTGTGTAAGGCAAAGTCTGGTGAGGTTATTTGGAAGTCTAATTATTCACATATGCCCAGCACTCATTAGGAAAGGACAGAAAAGAAGTAAAATTGGTTCTTCTCATTTTACTGGGAAAGTGGCTATTAGTATAAATTCAAATCAGTTCTGAAATGCTGCTCATTCAGTGATACAACTAGGAGTAAACATCAATCATATGCCATCACCACTTCTTTTCCACACAAGCACCCATGGGCTTGAATAAGTTTTTGAAAAGACACAAATGAGCCCCGTTTCCCCCACCCATCTGAGCCCCCTGTTTGTTTCTGTCTCTTCTTTGACAGCATACTATCTGTGATCTGTGCCTACTTGTATTTGAGTACCGTGTTAATGTTAACAAATAAGAAACCATGATTACAGTAACATGAAATACTGGAATCACACAGTTTCAAGTCCCAAAGTTCCCACAGATTTGGCCCTCAGTATATGGTTGAAAACACTGCCCCTTGAGTACCCTTGCCTTTCTTCAGAGTAGCACTTTTTTGCCACAAGCTTGATATTTGAAATGGATCAGCGGTACAGTAAGTGCTCCATACTTTTATGATCCTATCTGAAACTGTAAATTGCAAAACCGTCTACTGTGTTTTCCTGTCCAGGCTGATCAGTGGTCAAACAGCACTACAAATAGGAGATCAGACTAGTCATTCTTGCTATTGGTCGAGTCAGGGACGGGACTGGCCTCCCTAGGACCAGTGCGGCATGCTGACTGACATTTTAAGGCAGTAGTCTGTAATCAGAAGTAAGTTTTACTAGAAAGTAGATGTTTGAGCTGGAGCCTCTTGTGACTCCAGTCAGGCCAACCCCAAGCTCTAGCAAAACTAGTGAAACTGATTTGAAGTGACACAGGAAACTAGAGAGGAAGAAAGAAATCCCAAGAGAAGGAGCTAAATGTGCTGTAGACTGTGGGCACATCTACACACGCAATTAATGCAAAGCAGTGAACTCCAGCACTTATTGCACCAGCACTTATTGCTCCTAGGCACTTTACACTTCACATGAGTTTTCACATGCACCCAGGACTGCAGCATGTTGAGCCAGGTTGAAGCAGCCCTGGCTGGCAGGGGCCCCCGGGGGTTAGCCTGGCAGCCTGGGGCTGCTGTGACATGGCTCAATGTGCTGCAAAGGGACTGGCTGGGGCACGAGGGTGCTCCAATGAGGGACTAGGCAGCAGGCAGCCCCTGCACTGAAACACCCTTGTGCCCCAGCCAGCCCTGTCACCATTTATATGTGCATTGCTGTGGAGTAAAGAACTTCACCTGTATTTACAAATACTATCCTGTGGTAGAGTTAATTAGTTTACTCCATCCTAATAACACCACATGTGTACAGGGTGATGTTTTACTGCAGAGCTAATTAAGCAGCTCCTCAGTAAACATCTTGTGTAGATGTGCCAAGTGGATGTCAAATATGGAACAGGATTATTCAAGGGAGCCAGAAACATGAGTATAATTTGGGATCATCTTGTTACACAAGCAGAAGCTTCTTCTCTCCATACTTTTTTGGGAATGCTGTGAATTGATTTTCTCCATCACTCTTACCATTTTCTTTTGGAGGTAAGACAATGGGTGTGGGAACTGTGTAGTCACACTTAGCAGCTGGATAACTAACATTGCACCATTTGCTTGAATTCCTTTGTACAAGTAGGCAAAAAAAATCGAAAATAAGGGGTTCCTTGAGAGACAATGGGGACAGTGTGAAAACTATACAAAGGAAGAGAAGAAGTATTTTCTGTTGACGTTGGTGCCACAACCTGAAATTCTGACTGCATATAGGAATGCATAGAGCTGGATGATACTTCTGAATTTCTAGGATCCTGGGAAGCTGGCCAGATATCCCAAGCTTAGGAGTCAAGTCTGGTCAATTAATTCTTCCCCATTGCAGCTGCATTTTCACCTTCATCTGCCTTTTTATGATCTTTTTATTCCATCCTTCAAATAATCATCCTCTGTTTGTGACAGTTGTGTAAGGTCTAGGCCCCAGTATGCCCTGTAAGTTATTCAGTCTGCCTAAAATAACTGCAAGCTGATTTGATTATTGATTTTTAACTTACAGGGCTCTTTGGTGTGAAGGCATGCAGATAAGCCATTCTTCCTCCCTACATGAGCTACAGGTAGCAACCAGGCCTTTCAAGTCCTCCTGAAAACCCATGGCCAGTTTCCTATGGTGGCAGTCTCTCTCTGCTACTAGCTATCCAATGGCATTGCAAGGACTGCAAATAGTTTCCATATCCACCCAGTTCTGAATTCATAAGATAACAAATTCCATCCGAACATCTGTGACATTTGGGTTCTGAAACAGTTTCAAATACCATGCTGTTCATTAGTTGGGATTCAATTTCCTGTACCTCTCTGCTGCAGTTTTGCTTCAATGCATACAGTATGCATATTCATTAAAAACAACAATAATAAAGTTTTGCCTGAAAAAGAAGGGTGTGCAAATAAAAACTGCCTGGGGCCAAGCTATGTTCTGTGTTCTGGACATTTATATAACTATCTGCAGCACACTTCAGTTAAATAAATAAAAAAAGACAGATTTACCATAGCAACTGAAGCAAGTGCGTGTTACATTTTTAATCTCTGAGATGCATAGAACCTGACTAGGAAAGCACACAGAAGAAAAAATGTGAACTTTCCCCATGTTTGAAGGGAATATTTTGTCCCTTATTTCCTTGCCAGTATTTAATGCTTCCTTTGTTAGCTTAGTTGCTTTGTTCTCGTTGCATTGTTACGCTTGCATCACAGGGAAATGATGAGTGTGAGAGACAGCTGGAGTATGTTCTTATCTGAGACATTTTGGTGTTGCCATAAGATTGAAGCAAATGGTGGCTATTAGGCTACTGTGATTTTCTTAAATGGAGCATTGGAATAAATTCCACATGTGAACAAGTGGGTAGTGTCTCTTCAAGCAAAACAGTTCTGTAGTTCTATGCCTAGATTTCATATCTCCATAAAACTATATACATGTGCTCGCCTGCATCCTACCCTCAGAAAGGTATGTACTTGCCTGTTTTTTTTCTTTGTTGTCATTAGTTCTCTTTGGATTACAGGATACAATTTGCCCTGTACCTAAAAGATACATAACTAAATCCTTTCAAACACCCGTAGCAGTGTGCGTATATGTTGCAGTATGGGAAGAGAAAGGAGGTGTTGGCTGATCCATTAGTGCCCTATGCATTGCTGTCTCCTAGGGGTTGTAAACTTGGAATTTATTTCACTTTCCATCTATATGATCCATTCCAGCTATTTGCAGATTAATTACAAATCTTATCAAGACAATCAGAAGCATAAACTGTCTGATCCTCCTGCCCCCATATTATTTCCGGTTTCTTTGTTTGAATCTTTTCTGAAGATTGGGGTGACTTGCAGCAACATGCCTGGACACTTCACTGTTTCCAAGATAAACAGCTTCTGAGCCAATATGGATGTGGACAGCATGCAATAAAATATTTTGCATCTTTCCTTTGGTGATTCAGAGCCCTTTACAAAAATTAAATGAGCCTTACAACAACTCTGGCAGTGGGAAACTTGAGGTATGGAAAGTTTATGCCTGCCCAAAGTTGCACAAAAAGTAAATTGACAAGAGCAGCATATAGGCTCAGTGTTCTCTGATAGAGCTGTTAAAGAGTTTCTGGCATGATAATTTTGGTGTAGGCCTCTGATACAGAAACATATTTTATGAAATAATTCCCTGTAATCTTAAAGAAAAACCTCTCCAGCCCCATATCTTTATCAGATATTTTTGGTGCATTATTTCCAAAGTCTTAGTAAAACTCATGGCAAGTTCTCAGTTTTAGAGTGAATCTTCCTGTGCACAAAGCTTGAGCATTGTGTTCCCAACTGGAATTTCATGTTCTTGTGTAGGGCAGAATTTTAGTTGAAACTTCAGCATGTTTGCTCACCATGGGGGCATGGCACTGTTGCTAATTTTTTCCACTGGAAAATGTCATATTGTTAAAATGGAAACTTTCCATGGAAACATGGTTATTATGATTAGTTCTGTGCAAAAAGCAAAGAAGTATTTTGATAATAACATTTAGCTGTATATTATAAAATATAATAGAACAGTTGAACATAAAAAAATGGAATGAAATATCTTGATTTTATCTGTACAGAATATTCTAATTGCCCCAAAACAGATTTTTTTTTTTGTGAAAATTTTCTTTCATGGGAAATTTTAGGGTTTTGGTTCTGTACAGACATGAATGAATACAAATTTCAGGCTCTCAATTTCCCATAGAATAGAAAACTCAAGTTTCAACTAGCTCTAATTGCTATCTACAATGGAGATGTCTTCTCTAGTGCCATAACTTCCCACTCATCAGCCAAGAACTAACTGCTCCCATTCTTATTAAAATTCAGCAAAATCAACAAATAAAATATATATTTTCAGTAGCTAAAGCCTGAATTAAAGCTGGAATTAAAAACAAGTTATTCTTTCTTCCTTTTTTCTTATCTTGGAGTTCTTCATGCAGAGACATTTTAAATTTACAGTGGAGACAGTTAACATTCTTCAAGGAGAACATTATCATTTGAAAAACTTGTAAAAAGAAATGTCTGTGCTAAAAAGTGGCACCATCTTTCTGCAGAGACCCCAGTCATTTACATTTCAGGTCAGCTTCCTGTCTTTTGCTAAATAACTCTGACATTTTCTTCAGATGCAAATTATTTTTGAAAGTTACCCAAATTAGATATTTGCCTAAAGGAGTCTTAATGTGACAATTCTGGCATCCCTTGTATTCCCTCCTTATACTTTTGTAGTTAATAGAAATTGTAGATATAGTCAGATTTCAGCACTGAATGCAATGCTATCAAGTTACTAGATACTAACAAACCCCAAAATCTTCTAAAGAGACAGGCTTCTCCACCTCTGAAGATATCAACCCAAAATTTTCTTTCAAAATGTGTAATATGCTTTGATATTCTGGTGAGGTATATTATGTTAAAATACAAAGCAGATTATAGAATCATAGACAATTAGGGTTGGAAGGGACGTCAGGTCATCTAGTTCAATCTCCTGCTCAAAGCAGGAGATGGATTTAAGGCCTGCCTTTAAGATGGAAATAGGTGCTTGATGGCATTTATAAAAGTGCCTAAACAAGACAGTGCCTAATTCTCATTGACTTCAACCTATGTTTGTAAATCCCGTTGCATCTGTGGATACTTCAATGTCTTTGCAATCTTATCTTTTATTTATTAATATCTATATTGCAGTGGCGTTTAGAGCCTTCAGTCAGGATCAGAGTTTACTTGTGCTAGGGCCGCGACACACA